AGATAACCTAATCTTATCTATATGTAGGTCAAAAATTACATAACGTTTTTGATAAGTCTCATGATTTATTCGAGTGAGTGATATCGACTGATATCGACGATATCTATCCCAAATTATTAGATAAATTCCCACTTATGGGACTATCCTACTACTTATGGAACGATTACATTGTGTATCTTTGAATCACAATGGCTTAGTAAGATGATGTGTCATATACCTTTTCCTTTGGAAGCTCTTCTATAGAAAAATCTTATGATATATTGTTTAAAAAAACTGGTTCTTTACCCATTGCCTGTAACAATTGGTAAAATTCTCGCAAGTAACACAAGAAACACTTTACAAGTCGGTACAAATCGAATACATTTTCATAGCTTTACCAACGTTGCGTTCACATTGATTTTTGTTGACTAACAGTATGTATGTATGACTTGTTTGAGTTGCGATAAATCACAGTACAATGCACAAATTAAATTCTTGCTCAACAAGATAATTACGCTCTTCTATCAACTGTGTAGTAAATGGTACTGATTTTTGTTACAAAAAGAAGTGTTTTGCAATTTTAGTTTAAGATAGGTATTTATATTTCTATATCTAATATGTATTATCATATTTCGGTTTAAAAATTTAATATGAACAAATTTTAAAAGTAGAATTTGTGTGTGTGTGTGTGTGAAATTCGTTTAAAATTGGATACATAAAAACAATGTTGCAGTGTTATATAATTTTTATTAAAAATACCACAAAGATTATTTTTAGTAATTTCGTATACATAGTATATAATTTTTAAATTTGTTTATTATAAATTTAGAAATGTTTATCTCAACCTAGAACATCTTTTGTAGAAAAAGCGACTTTTCTAATGGAAATTCTCTACTGTACATATGTACATATTCTACTAATTGTAAATACAAACAAACACAGATTATACTTCAGTTTATCTGTGTACTTTCTGTATCATGTATAGGATTTTTGGGGAGATAACCGCGATAAGGAATCTATACAAATATTCTTACAAGATTAAAGATCTATACAAGGTTGAATCATGTCATGAATAAAGATAGCATTGTACATATAGGGTGTCCCAAAATTATTGTACAAGCGGGAAATGTGCTCGGTTCCTGAGATCATAAGTGGAACTGGGCTTTGATCGCTCGTTGGCTCGACCACTTCGCGCCAGCTGATCTTACCTCTCATTAGTTACTTGTTTTTCGTTAATAACTCGTAAATGAAGCTGCGGATTGCATTTTTGCTGAAGAAAAAGTTACTTCAAATGACCTTAGAAACCCCTCATTTCTCGCTTGTGTTGGGACACCCAGTATAAATTACCTATAGTACAATTAACAATTTTTATCATAAATTACGAAGATATATTTATTGCGCAGAATTTTATACTCTCTACTTTCTAATAGCATTTGATCAATAGATGAGAGAAAATTTAAGAGACAATTCTTTGTGACAAATAAGAGTGCAAAAATGATAATTTTGACTTCATTTGAAAACTATTGTAAAGTAAAAGTTCGCCAACCGAAGTGCGTACGGAATTCTACTATATACAGCGTATGTATAGTGTCATGGAAACATGAATCTCGGAAGATAGTTCATTGTGACGTGCAAGATAATAATTCAAAATGGCTGACATGGCATCAGGCTTCAAGTTCAAACCTTAGATTCTGTCCATTCATATCCATTATTAATCAACCTGTTGTGTGAGCGTAATTTTTAACATTTTTAACAATTTTTAACCAGTTTTTTTCCTTCACGAGTTATTAACGAAAAACACTGACCAATCAAAGACGAGTTCGGTTGGCGCGAGGCAGCCGAGCCAATCAGCGGATCTGGGCTTCGCGCGCTCGTTGGCTCGGCCGCCTCGCGCCAATCGAGCTCACCGCTTATTGGTCACTGTTTTTCGCTAATAACTCGTGAACGAAGCTTCGTAGAATATTTTCGCTAAGGAAAAAGTTGCTTCAAATGATCTTGGGAACCCCTCGTTTCCCGGAAATACCATAATTTTTGAACACTCTTATATCCGGCGCTCAGCCACACAGGTGACCAGATGGATGCCGGATATATCCGGCGCTCGGCCACACAGATGACCAGATGGATGCCGGATGTATCCGGCGCTCGTACCGAAAGGGTTAAGAACCTTTTAATCAATTTAATTTTTTTTTACAACTACGTCCTTTTACAAATGTATTAATTTTCAATTTGTATTTATTCATAAATACAGTGATATCTCAGGTTTTGCACGATTTTTCTTCCTCACATAGCTTTTGCAAACAGCCCTACCATTTTACTGCGCATCCAATCCGCAGTAAATCTTGTCTTAGCATTGAATCCTTAGCCAATCAGAGAAAAGCAAGTTCTACTCCTATTCTCGCTAACAGAGCACGCTACAACCAAAGAGTCTTGCAAAACTTGAAGTATTATTGTAGCACACAGTGATTTACATGAAAATTATCAGTACGCATGCGTTCGTAAGTTTGTACAGTGCTAGCTTTAAAACTACAAGTTATGTACAATCACATCGTATGTCATTTCATGTCTCAGATGGCGCTACAAACGAAATTAGAAATGTGTTTCCCTCCTTCCTGTTTTCGTCTTAACGGTTCTTCCTCTTTGATCAAAGCTTCAGCGTGGTCACATTGTCTGTTTTGAGCGTGATCCACGTTTCGTGTCGTAAGACTTAAAGGTAAGTACAAGTTTTAATAATATCTTTTCACGAATAATACTGTATGCTTTGGATTTATCATACATTAATATGCAGAGAGGCAGAATTTGTTTACAAACTAACAAATTATAGTAAACGATGATTTACGATACGATGAATCTTTCAAACCATATGTATCTTAAGATGATATATATATATTAACATATTCAACGCAAAAATTGTAAACTAATATATTCTAAGCATTCTCTTTAAAGGCTTTTCATTGTCTAGATGCCACTTTATTGTATATTGTGAAGCTTGCTTCTGAATTGTATTTAAACGTAATTTACTGGAGTATAAATTTATTCCACTGTATTTACATTTTATTTGATACTAAATACTATTTTACTAAAAATGTATGTACATGATGATTTAAATATTCACCATCTTTCGACTGATATTTGTGATGGTACTTTTTCTTACTGAAGTTATTTAATTCCTGAGAAAAATGCGTTATTTTGTAGAACAGCATAATAGTATAATTATATTTTTCAGAATGCGTTACGTGGCCGCTTATCTTTTGGCTGCCTTAGGAGGCAAAGCTTCACCTAACCAAAATGATATTGAAAAGATTTTATCATCTGTCGGAATTGAATTCGACCCTGAGAAACTGAAGATTGTTATCTCAGAATTGAATGGAAAGTCAATTGATGAACTAATAGCACGAGGTACTATATTTTCAATCAAATATTATCTTTCCTTTCAAACAGATAAAAATCGTTTGCAAATTCATAGGAATGTATTTTAATTTTTTAATTAGATTTAATCATACTGTAACCATTTATATTCTAAAAGTTTTTAAGTAATACAAAATTTTCTAAAATATTTTTCACTTTTACAGGACGTGAGAAATTGTCATCTATGCCAGTTGGAGGCAGTGCAGTTGCTAGCACTGCTGCACCTGCTGCTGGAGCAGCTGCTGCTCCAGTTGAAGAAAAGAAGGGTAAATGTTATTCGATAAGATACTTGCACTTATTTCTTACGAAAGTATAAAAGTTTCATTAAAATTCTTCTTAACAGAGGAAAAGAAGCCAGCAAAGGAAGAATCTGAGTCAGACGATGATGACATGGGCTTTGGTCTTTTCGATTAAATTCCATAACAGCGACAGCTGTATAATGACTATTTGTACAACATGTATATTATACAGTTTTGATAGAATCACTAAAAAATAAACTGTATTTTTAATTCTATCATATCTAATCAATAATTTATGTGGTTCATAAGCGTCATGTGTACATTATCCATCCATTTACTATCCACAAATTCTATTTTATGCAGTACTTTCAAATAATTTAGATAGTCCAAATATCAAAGATTAAAATATCAATTTAGAAGACAGTGAGTTTCTTATAAGCTACATTATTATTTATATTTAATAAAAAGTTAGTTCTTGAATAGTATACGTTTTAACCAAATACCATTAAAATGTTTTAATTAAAACGCATGCACGTGTGAAACATACTACGAGAGTAGATACCACGTATACACTTATGCGCCGTTGCAGTTTCATTCACAGTAAGGAGTGGGGGATGAGGATTGGAGAAAGGAAGGGGTGGCGTACGAGATTTACCAGAAAATCGAGTTGTATGTATTCTTACGCTGATGAATATTTAAATGAGCGTGATTGGGATGATGTTAATCGGAATTGTTAAGCGTTTTGTTGCATGATTTGCATTCCTGTTGCTATTTAAATGTATTTAAAATTATTTGGCAATATCAAGATATAGGATCGATCGGAACACTTTTGTACTTGAGGAACTATTTTTAGATAGAGGGGCGGTCGTTGGCGGCCATGATGGGTGTCAGCGGCAAGTAGTGACGGCATTCGCTTTCCGTCAGTTGGTTTTGTGCGCTGATGGTCGGGCTGAGGTTTTCTGATTGAGAAGCGCACCACAGGGCAAAACACTTGTACATAGAAACGGTATACAGCCGCAATATTATCTTAATTAAATAACAGCGGCTGGAAAACCTCGGAAAGGTATAGAAAACATCAGAAAAATGACGCAGTTATTACCCATAAGGTTTCAAGAACATCTTCAGGTAGGTGACCCGTTTTCATTCCCGGTTCATCAATTATTTCGACACGTCGTCAATGATTTTCGCATTTACAATTTGCATCTTCAATTTCATCCTACGTTCTCGACGTTTTATCGTGCCGTTTTTCTGCTACTGCTCATTACATCGGCGTTCAAACGGAAGTTCCGTTAAAACCTTCCCAATTGACGTTACTTTGACAGGTATAATATCATCGCATGTTTTTTGAATTACGAAAATTTGAATAAACTGTATAAGGATATTTATGATTGAATGCGTAGAGGTTAACTGATCATGGCATCGTCGTATATTGGAAAGTTGGCAAGAAAAATAAATTGATTTTTTTTTTTATCAATGAGGGCCACGTCTACTCGGCATATACGCCCCTTATTTCCGTCTTTATATGCCATAAATTTTCTAATTAAAGTGATTCTCTTTTCCTATATAATTCAATGCAATATAGACTACACACATTATTCTATATGTCACGACATTAATTTTTCTTTTTCCAAGAGGTCCACATTCGTAATGAATTACGTTTTAACAAATGAAATAACGTATTAGAAACTACGAATTGTACCGTATTTCAATTAAAGTGTTTTTGATTATTATTTCTCGTGCAATACATTAAACGATTTATTGATTTCTGTACAATTAATATGTAGGAGTAAATTTTATACATCGTTCCCATCATTATATTCTTAATTTCTGTTAAATTTTAAGGATTAATGAAATTTTATAATTATTAAGAATATCTAACATCATTATTTTACAATATCTAAGATTAATGCTGATGATAAATAGTGTTTTTAAAATTAGCAGTAATATGTGGTTATGTTGCACTGCCATTTTTATAATTTATATTAATCACAGTAGAGCAAATTGTTTATCTAAATAAAAGTATTGAGTAATGGATAAAAGATAACTTTAATGTCATTAATAGACCATATCCCCTGATGTTCTATTTTATAATATCAATCTCAATGATGATGTGTTAACATGATGAGTGAAATAATATTATTGTAGTATTATTCCACAGTGTGTAGCTTTCTTGATTTAAA